AGCCCAAGTCCCCATCAACTGGAAACTGGATAAAGAAAATGTGGTTTTTTTTATAAAATGGAGTACTACTCAGCCATAAAGAATGAAAAACTAGAGTCATTTATAGCTAAATGGATGCATATCGAGGCCATAATCTTAAGTGAAATAAATAGGACACACATGTGTAAATACCAAATAGTTTCACTAGTGTGAGAAACTGATAGTGTAAACAAGGGTTAAAATGATTAAAATGAATAATTGATAATTTGAAATAGGAAAAAAGGTCCAAAGATGAAGGAGTGCAGGGAAGGGAAGGGAAAAGGAAAAGAGGGAAAGGAAAAACTATGAGAAAAGAAAAAAAAATGGAAATGAAATCTAAGTAAATAGGGAAGGGTGTAGGGGGTGAAGGGTGCACAGGTAATGGAGAAAAAAAAAAAAAGAACCAAGATACATCATGCACAGGTACATACACCTAATGATAAATGTAAATGAATCGTATACCTAAAATGTACTAATAAAAGAACTAAAAAAAAAACTGCAATAAGGTAGAACTACATACCTATTAGAATGGCTAAAATGAAAAGCAAGGTGATATCAAGTATGGAAAAGGATACAGAACAAATATTACTCTCATCCATTGCTGTAGAAATGCAAATTATTACAGCCACTTTGAAACAGTATGACAATATTTTAAATAAAATTCATACACATACTATACCTCACAGAATGTCATGAAAAGCCCTTAGACAAGCTTTTATATCCAAATAGTGGAATATTACTCAATAATAATAAAAACTTCTGATAGAACAGCAAGCATGAATCTCAGAGGTACTATTTTGACTGAAAGAAGCCAGACTCAAAAGGTTACATTCTGAAAAAGGCAAAATTTCAAGGACAAATAAGAGATCAGAGTTTGCCTAGGGAGAGGGGAAAAAGTGATCACAAAGGGGTGTGAGGGAACTTCTGGGGGTGATAAACATGTTGAATCTATTGGTTTTGGTGGTGCATATGTCAAAACCCATAGATCTGAACACTGTAAAGAGTAAATATTATCATATATATATTAGACCTCAATAAAACTGACTTGTGAAATTAATGCCTGAACACTGCAAATAGAATTGTATAGAAAAACTCAACATATTAGGGAAAACTTTGAAAATTCAAAATCGCCACTCAGATACAGAAAGTCAATACCTTGATCTGCTGTATCTCAGATTATGTACACAAATATCTGCGCATAATAGTTTTCAAAACTGGGATTATATTATGCTATTTTCTAACTTGATGTTTAACTTATCAGTACATTAAAATATTTACTGTCACTAGATTTATCTTCTACATCCTTTTAATGCTACACAGTATACTCTGTTTATGTATTAATTTGCAGATAAATGATTTACACTCTCCTAAACAGTGTAATGAAAAATTTAACACAACAGAATTTTTTCAATTTTTCTATTAACTCCTGAAGTAACACAAAGTAACCTATTGTCATAGCAGCTCCACATGAATCATAGTTCTTATATAACAGGTACTATTCATAATTTAAAGGATATAAGCAAAAATCATACATAGATGAGTGAGTAGCTTTCCTCCCAGGAGAGCCATAAAAAACACAGCTTCCTCACTATCCTACTTCCTGCACTGGAATGCATTTTCGGAACTAGCAGATGCAAACCAAAAATATATGTCAGTATTTGCCCAACTATAGCATTCCTTTTTTAAGCAGCCTGAAATGATAAGCACAGCTTTGTAATTATGCCCTAGGAGCATTTTGGCTTCCGATTAGCAGATGGCCAACAGCAATGTGCACGCTGCATAAGAGCTCAGAGGCAGCTGTTTTGGGAACTCTTGATTAGTCATTCATGTAGGGATAAAGAGATTGCATAATTGACTTCATTCATCCAGAAATTCATATTCTCTATATATACACATACATTCCAAATGTATTTGCAATAAGCAATTTAGAAATACCAGGTGTGCTCAATTAAAAGCTTATTGTTAAGTTAAAACATTTTCATTATCTTCAGACTAATAAATATCCTTAGTATGTTTATATGGTAGATTGATTTCCACATTTCTTAGATATTTCTACGGAGAGAGGGAATGAGATACAGAGCTGATATTATTGTCTCCCCATGTCATTAGAAGAAAGATATTTTAAATTTAATATAGTGGGCCCTCAAGTTACGACTGGCCTGACATACAAACAACTTGGGTTAATTAGGTTAATGGAAGACACATCTGCCTCTTGTTACCTATAGTGTGCACCCAAGTAAACATTCAGATCTCAGCTGTACTGACTTACAACCAACTTGAGTTGCAACCCGCCCTCAGGAACTCATCGAGTTCTTAAATCAAGGTTCCACTGTATTTATTTATTTATTTATTTAGGTACCAGGGATCAAACTCAGGACCTTGCTCTTGCGAGGCAGGTGCGGTGCCACTGAGCTAAATCTCTGGCCCCAACCCCTGTATTTATTGAACACTTTCTTTCCAAAAATGCATGAGATCATCCACATTGCCCACATCTCATGATTAGATATCAGTCTCCCAATTAAATAAAAATGATCTGCTCTCCACTATCCACTTCCCCAGGAAAATTACATCCTTTATGGAAGATGATAAAATCATCAAAAGTTATAATTTTTCATATTTAATATCTGATATTTAAAAAATTACCAAGTTTTCCAAGGGATCAGGACCAAATGAACAAAAACAGAACCTGTGTGGTCTAAATACCAGAGTTACCTGACAGTCTTGGAAATAATATTGATTACAACTTTCCAGAAATCAAACAGAAAGATAATTTCACAAGAGAGCTTGGACTTGCAGAAATTCTAGCATCAAAACATCAATAACTAAAATTAAGAAGTGCAGGCTGGGGATTTAGCTCAGTGCTTTCGCCACCTGCTGCGCAAGCACAAGGACCCGAGTTCGATCCCCGGTACCAAAATAAATAAATAAATAAATAAAATAAAATTAAGAAGTGCATGTAATAATAGATTAGATACAATTTATGCTCTTGTCTCCCTACAAGCTAGATAATATGCCTCCAATATAGTATGTGTATAGTTAGTGTTTCCAGGACAAATGGGCAGAGTGTAGAATTTTTTGGTGGAGAGATACTTTGAAACCAAGATTTAAGATTTCATTAGAAACATCTCCTCTGGGTATTGAACTTTTAGAAGAAGTAGAATTCTAGACAATGAAAGCAGGAAAAGACTCCAGCCCTTGTCAACAAGAATATGCCCTGAGATATCTTTCCAAAGCAGCAATTCTGTAATTTCTGGTCAAGTTATTTAGGACCTAGGTGATGTCACTGCATTCAAGAAATTGAGAAAAAGTAAAGAGCATGACCCAAAATCTAGAGGTGAAAGTGCCAGTCTGCTAGAGCCCAGTGCAGGTGTGTAAAATATGAAATGTTTGGAAGGTGGGAAAGGATGAAAGGATGTCTTAGGAAGAAAGAAAGAAGATACTGCACAGTTGAAGAGAGTCAATAATTGCTGCCTTACTGCCCCTTCCTCCTGTATAGATCACACATAACTAATATATATGGAGCAAGAATAGTGAACTTACGATTTTTTTCTTGTCCTTTTAAGTACGCTTTGATGTTACACTGCTGTTCTTCAAGAATAGAATTGTGGGGCCAGGGATTTAGCTCAGTGGTTCCACCGCCTGCCTCGCAAGCACAAGGTTCCGAGTTCAATCCCTGGTACCAAAAAAAAAAAAAAAAGAATAGACCTGTGATGGTTAATCTTGATTGTCAGTTTCATTGGATTAAAGGATGCCTATCACAGTGGCTGGATTGTGAAGGGGGCTAAACTCGTGGATGGATTAACCCATTGGCTATTATGAGGTGGGGCCTAGTTGGAGGAAGTAGGTCACTGGGGACATGCCTTTGAAGGGTATGTATTTTTTCTGGATCAGTTCCTTTCTTTTTGCCTCCTGGATGCCATAAAGTGAGCAGCTTCTTCCACCATGCCCTTCCATCATGATGTTTCTACCTCACTACAGGCCTAAAAGCAATGGAGCTGGCTATGGACTGAAATCATGAGACAAAATATGTCTTTCCTCCTTTAAATTGTTTCTGTTAAGTATTGGTCAAAATACAGAAGGCTAGTAGACGAATGGGGGAAATTGGTGTTCTCCCTTAAAGCAGTAACCCCGTTTTTTGTCTTTCAACAGGCTGTATTGGTGAGAAATAGGGAGTCAGTGACGGAGCCTGCCCTTACTTGTCAAACAGTACCTGAATGGGGGAGTGAGGATGAAGAAAAAGAAAGGCGCAGAAAGAAAGACACAGAGATAGAGTTGGGAGCCTTTCAGAGAGAGAGAGCGAGGGAGGAGAGAGAGAG